AGCCGGGACCTGGGACCGGCAGGTACCAACCAGCGTGGGAAGACGTCGGAGCACAGCGGAGACAGACATCTCGCCGAGAGCAGGCCTGGCTGGAGGTGCCCTCCCGTCTCTTCTCCCCAGGACGCGGGCCAGTCGGCGAAGGGGACGGGCCCTTCGGGAAGGCCGAGTGGGCCTGCGGAGTGTCCACGGCAACAGAACCGGAGCGGAGCGGACAGTAAGGGGGAGTGAAAAGGACGCCGGCTGAGAACGTGGGGAGTGACCGCGGAGGTGGTCAGCCCGGTGAGGGTTCAGCACCACGGACAGGGCCTGGCGTTGGCCTCGGTCCCTTCATTTTCATCTGCACATAAAAGGCGTGAATTCAAACCCAAGTGCAGCTCCTCCGGGGAAGCCGCGTGGGACTCACGTCCAGGAGCACCACGCCCGTGAGAGCTCTCGGGGGTAAAACGAGGCAGGCGGGGGGAGGGGGGGCCTGCTCTGAGGACGGGGCAGGTGCTCAACGAGCGTGACGCTGGGTCACCGTTTCCATGGGTGTGTCCTCCGGCTCCTGTTTCTGGGGGTTCTCGGCGCGTAGCCCTGTCCCTCGTCTCACAAGGCCGACCCAGGCACGGAACACAACCTCCTTGCCCAGCTCCCCTGAATCCCAGCCTCCTCCCTTCTAGACTCTTCATACACCGATCAGATGTTCCCCGCCTGTACCGCCGCCCACGCTTCCAGCTCTGGCCACGCCACCCTCCCGCACCAGCCTCACGCCCGGCCATCTCCTCTCCGTCCTGCGGAGCCCCCTCTGAGGCCCGTTTCTCCTCGAAGAGCCCCCGGTTTCCTAAACGCCTCTGCCCTGAGGCCCAGGTTCTCCGGTTTAGCTTCGGTTTACGTTATGTTTGGGTTCCTCGATGCTGTGTCGGCGGCATTTAAAGAGAAGCCTTGAGCAAACCAAGGGCTTTGCCTTGGGCTGTTCAACAAGAGAGCGCAGGTCAGACACACTCACATTCCCGCCAGCCCACGCCTCGCCCTGGCCGCCCGCCCCGCCCGCGAGGGACTGTGTGTCTCTGCTGTGGAGAGAAGCCCCTCTGAAACCTGGAAGGGTTGTCCCAGGGACTCCAAGCAGGGCTGGCTGCTGCCTGGACTTCACGGGCCTTCCAGAAAACCTCGTCTCCCGGGAGGCAGCTGTGCCTGAGAAGTATGTCAAACTACATGTGTCATAGAGACTGACCCGCCTCCTTAACGAAAAATAATTAGCCCACTAATGAGAGCCCCGAATTATTTTAATTACAAGGAACCAATTACGAAGTTAAAAGTGCGCTGTTAATTGCTAGTTGAGGAACACCATTTTAAACCCCTTCTCTTTGCCTAAAATCTTCTGCAATTAAGACTCATTGCCTCTAACGTGACCCTTCGGATCCGTCAGGAGGGGCTGCAGGCTCCCAGCAGCCGGGGTGTGAGCGCTGACACGGGGGGGGGGGGGGGAGTGCGGGGCGGTGGAGGAGGGAGGGGAGGGGACACGCTTGTCCCCGCGGCCGGCTGGGCTGAGTCGGGCACCGATCGGGGTGAAGGAGTGCGACGGGCACATTTGAAGTGTGACTGCGAAGTGCTCCACACGGACGCACCCCGGCGTGCGGTGGCCGCCCCGTGACCCGCCCTCCCGAGCATGGGAACCGAGTGGGGGGACGGGGCCCTCGCTCTGCAGATGCGGTTGAGAGGTACAGGCATCCCCCGCAAACCCACACTGGCACCCCTGCTCTCGGGGTTGGCGATGCGCCTGTGAACTGGGTCTGCTTCTGAGCAGACCATCTCCCCCGAGTCTCACCATCTCCCCCAACCAGGTGCCCAGAAACATCGCCTCCACCTCGTTTCATTCCTGCAAACCGAGAGGCTGTCACCCCCACTCCTGGTGAGGGGCCAGGGCGTGGGGCTCTGAGGTGCCCGGCCTCCCCGTAGGGACGCAGCCAGGCCTCCCTGTGGGGACGCAGCCGGGCGTTGGGCTGCGTGTTGAGGAGGAACGTGAAGGGGCGGGCGGGGGGTGGGGGGGGGACTGTGCTTCTCTCAGCCCCGCGGCTGGGATGACACAGACACGGAGACGCCATAACGAGCGGGACATGCGTCTGACAATGAGCCTGACTCATGGCTTTAAAGAGGAGCTGCCTGCCATGGAGCGCTCTGGAGAGACGACACATGCCGGGAGCCGGTCCATGCTTGCTGTTTCAAGGGACCTGGCATATATGGCATACTGTTCTTAATATGTTTGCTCACCTTCTTGGCACTATGTGTTTTAACCAAGGTCACCTCTCTGAGAAAGGTTGTTTCCCCAGGTAGGGATTGTCCCCTGAAGTTAGGGAGGGAATAAAACCCCTCAACTAAGTGCCAGGCGGGTAATTAATCACTTTAACTACGAACAATCATGCTTAAGCTACATAATCTTTACTCCCTGGAATGGAGATAGGAAACGCCCTAACCTTTGTAATAGAGATTGATAGGATTGAATCAACTGGTATAAATACAGATGTAACAAGACAACAGGACACAGAACCTACACACAGAACCTACACAGGACCTAGAGACAGAAGAACTTCGCTGGAGAGAACATGGCAAAAGATCCTGGACAGAAACTGGCCACAGAACCGAGAGACAGAACCTAGCGAGAGAACCTGGCTGAAGAACCTAGAGACAGAACCTGGCTACAGAACCTGGATAGAACATGGCAAAAGAACCTGACTAGAACCTGGTGACTGAACCTGGCTGGAGAACCTAGCGAGGGAATATGGACACAGAACCTGGCTGGAGATCCTAGCAAGAGAACATGGACACGGAACCTGGCTGGAGATCCTAACCAGAACTTAGCTGGAGATCCTGACCAGAACTTGGCTAGAGATCCTGGCTAGGCTGCTGATCAACTGAACGCTGTCTCCGTGTCATTCCTTCTTCGCCGACTCTGTCCACACCTTTGGGGACCCCTGGACCTGCTGGGGTTGGACCCCAGCAGACACAGACCACGAAGGGGGCGAAGCCGGTCTGAGGCATCTCCACGCTGTGCGGCTCCAACCACGGGACATTTGGGAAAAGACAGAAGCAACCCCCAAACCTGAAACACGGGCTCCTAAGCTTCCGTGACTTCGCTCCAACGCGCGTCCCGTCCCTCCTCCCGACAGCCGAGCGCACCTGCAGGAGGGAGCCCGACGGCCACTGGTAACTGGCGTTCGCTCTGCTCCGGCTGCAGGAGCCCGGGCACATTGTCAGCAAGAGCCAGGTCATCGGCAAGGTCATGGGCAAGGTCATGGGCAAGGTCATCAGCAAGGTGAGAACTGGCCTTGAGCCCAGCCGAGAGCAGGGCAACCAGGCGCACACACAGGCTAATGGACCCTCACGTGTGGTGTGAGCACCTTGGAGCACAGCTGCCCACACCCCCCCTCCTGCCGATCGGCAGCCCCCAAATGAACAGTCCACACGCCCCCATCCCGCTGCCTCCTGGGCCGCCTGCTAAATTAGCCCGTAATCTGCGCCCAGGAAACCACAGTCCCCGCGAATGCCCAGCGAGAGCCACTAAGGAGGCGGCCGTGCGGGGCTCCTCTGCCCCCCGGGCCTCGGGCCTTGTCCACCCGCAGGCCCCCCTCATTCACCTGCTTGGGCAGGTGTGGAGTGAATCTCCAGCTCTCAGGAAAGTCACTGGCCGGATGCTTGCCCTCCCACCCCGTGGAGTCCCCACCAGGAATGCAGGGTGTGGCCAGGCCCGGGACCCTGTGGGCGGCTCTGCTGCGAGAACAGGCAGTGGCCGCAGCCTTGGACGGGCCGGCCCCATCACACGCCGGCTCAGCAACCAACGCTGAAGGGCAGCCGGCGAGGACGGGAGCCTGTGCTTGGCTTTATTTAGCCGACACGGTGTCTCATGACCGCAGATCCGGTGGCACGGAGCTCAAAATGGGAACTGCTGTGTGTGCGTTTAGACTCAGCGAAGGGGGGACGGTCTGCAGACCCGGCCGCTCCTCCCCGCACTCCGGCTGACGCTGCCCCGCAGCTGGTCTAAAGCCAACGGGCTCGCACGGCTCGCAGCCTCTGGTCCCCGTGGTCACGGCTGAGCCACGGGGTCACTGAATCCTGACCTGCCGTCCCCGCCCGTGGTGCCCCTGCTTGAAGGAATCTTTACAAGCGACAGAAAGACGATCCCTTTCCTGCAGCCTCCACTCAGCTGTGGACTCGGCGTCCTCAAGGCCACGCTCCCGCGGACAACACCGGGCACTCACACCTCTCCGCTGCCCCTCCATCCCCAGGCAGGCGAGGGGCTCCCGTTCAGTCTCCCAGCAGTGAGAGATGTACCTCACCCCTGAGTCCTCACACCCGTGCCCCTGAGTCCTCACACCCGTGCCCCTGAGTCCTCACACCCGGGCCCCTGAGTCCTCACACCCGGGCCCCTGAGTCCTCACACCCGTACCCCTGAGTCCTCACACCCGGGCCCCTGAGTCCTCACACCCGTACCCCTGAGTCCTCACATCGGTGTCCCTGAGTCCTCACACCCGTACCCCTTAGTCCTCACACCCGTACCCCTGAGTCCTCACACCTGTACCCCTGAGTCCTCACACCCGTACCCCTGAGTCCTCACACCTGTGCCCCTGAGTCCTCACACCTGTCCTATTGACACAGGCCACTCCTCTTTAAAAAGCCCGCACAGCCCTGGCCGGTGTGGCTCAGTGGATAGAGCGTCGGCCTGCGGACTGAAGGGTCCTGGGTTTGATTCCCGTCAAGGGCACAGGCCTGGGTTGCGGGCTCAATCCCAGTGGAGGGCATGCAGGAGGCAGCCGATCCATGATTCTCTCTCATCATGGATGTTTCGCTTTCTCTCCCTCTCCCTTCCTCTTGGAAATCGACAAAATATATTTTTAAAAATAAAATTAAATAAAAAGGCCGCGCACACCCAGGTAACCACCCAGGTAACCACCCAGGTAACCAGTCAGGACTGTCACCTTCAACACCCCTCCCCCCAAGCAGCCCTGTAACAAAATGCGTGTAGTTACTTCTTCCTCGGCGGCGTCTGCATCCGTGGCGGGCGCGGAGTCCAGGTCCATGTCCTCCTCGGGGGTCTGGGGAGAGACAGGAAGGCCGTCAGCAGGGCGCAGCGTCGAGCGGGTGCCGGTGCCGAGGGCTCACTAGACCCCCGTCAGCACGGGAGAGCGAGGGGCCCACGTCCCTTCGCCCCGAGTTCACTGCACCTGCGCCTGCTTCCTGTTGGGACGGGCCCTCCCCAGCCAGGACGGGCCGCAGGTGAGGCAGCGATTGTTTAAAGCCACGAGTGCACGTGACTAGGTTGGCCAATCGTGTGCCGCATCCACCACATTCCACGGGAGAAGCCTGGTGACTTACGCACCTCCCGGCAGGTGGGGGCGGCGTGGAGTCACAGGGGCGACAGGGCAGGGGGTGTCAGGCTCCCTTTGCCGGGAGGGCCCCCACCCCGCTCTGCTCTGAGGAGGAACTGAATGTGGGAGAGGAGTTCTGCAGGGGGAGGTCTCTGCTCGCTGCTGTGACCTCAGACGAATCGCTGGCCTGAGCCTCAGTTTCCCCATCATGCAATCAGGCTGCAGCAGCACCTACGGCCTGGAGACTAGCGGGATGCAATGACGTCACGCGGACCCAGCATCCGCCCTGGGCTCTGTGCTGAGGCCCTCGCCCATGGCGCCCTCAGCATTCCCACTGTACCCCGAGCTCACAAGCTGTTGCTGCACATCAGCCTCAAACACTGAACTCCCGCCCTCCAGCGGGTGGCCATGGGCGCCGCCTGCCATCAGCGTGGCTCTGGGCGCTTTCAATGTGCACGGCCTTTTCTGGGCGTGAAGATGCTTAAAGGGAGTGTGTTCTCTGCAGGCCCATATTCAGTCCATTTTTAAAAACATGGCCCTGGCCGGTGTGGCTCAGTGGATAGGGCGTCGGCCTATGGACCGAAGGGCCCCGGGTTCTGTTCTGGTCAAGGGCACCTGCCTGATTGCAGGCTCGATCACTGGCCTGGTTGGGGCCCGTGTGGGAGGCAACCAATTATGTGTCCCTCTCACGTCGATGTTTTACTCTGTCTGTCCCCCTCCCTTTCACTCTCTCTAAAAAAATCAATGGAAAATGTATCCCTGGGTGAGGATTAACAATAAATAAGTAAATAAAATAAAAATATTAAAACCGTCAGCGGCAGGAGCAGCAGCCTGAGGCCCGGGGAGATTTCCAGAGCCTCTTCTCTCTCCTGCCTCTGTCTCGAGGCCAAGCCTCCCTGCACAGGCCCCCCTCCCGGGCCGGCGGCTCCGGGGCTGACGCGGGGCCTGCACCCCGACACAGGGAGGATCCGACCTCTAACTCAGCGACTTTCACCCCATTCGGCAGCGGACCGAGCAGCCCCGTGGGTGTCAGGCTCCGTCGAAGGCCCCGCCGTCTGGGCCGGGAGGCTGTGGGCCCTCGCCGTCGCCCGGTCGCCCACACGCAGACAGTCCCCACAGTGAGAGCCGCCCCTCCCTCCCGACCGGGAGCCTCTCCCTCCCCCTGTCGGCGCAGTCCACCTGGCAGCAGGCTGAGCACCGGGCCACGCACCCCGTCTCTGCTGAAACCTCCGTGTGTGCCCAGCTACTCGGGGAGCCTGGCCCCCAAAATGATAGTAAATACGAACTAGTAACTTCTCTCTAAAACGGAATCTCTCATTCAGTCTGCAATTACGTTTCGTGATTATCTTAACATAGAGAGTATATGCCAGTGCATGTATAAAACATTTAAAATGGTCAGAATTAAATTCATAGGCATGTCAGCGGGACAGGAAATAAGGCAAAAGTCAGAGCTTGGATTGTGTGGGGATTTAGCCAGTGACCGAGATCAGCCGTTTGCCAAGGCAGGTGCGTGGCTGCCAGCAGCACAGGCCGCGGGCGGCTGGGTCAGTGTCAGTGACCTCGGAGAACTTTCTTTGCCAGGAAGCGAGTCGGCTGGCCACCTGCGCTTCACACCGAGCAGATCCAATCCCGGCCAGGCGCCTCCCGCCCCCTACCCCCCCCCCCGCCCAGCGCTGGCCCGATGCAGCCGATCTGGCTGTCCCACCCCAGCCCCCCACCCTCACCCCCTTGGCCCCCTCTGTCTGGGCCGTGTGAGATGGCACAGCCTCAGGTCCTTAGGGAACAGCCCCGTTCGCTGCCTCTGCCTCCCCCTTCCCTGCGGCAAGCGGAGTTTCATCCTTCGGGGCCACTTGTTGAAGGAAAAACCCAGGATGCGGGTAACCGGGCAACGGGGGCTGAGAGGCGGGCTGAGCCGGCTCCGGGCAACGCTGTCTTCCATTCATTCGTGTCCATGAAAACATTCGCACACTCGCCGTGCTGCGAGCGTGTGTGTACACACATACATGGTGTTTACGTGTGCGTCTGTGTGTGCACACGCATATTTATAGCACAGTGCGCACCTCTATGCACACACACACACACACACAGAGTCCCTCACTGAGCCTGAGTCCATGGGAGCACACACGCTGCGCTTGCTGCGGGCAGGGTTCTCCCAGACGCTGAGAAAGTACACCCTGCTCCTCCCCGCTCACCTCGATCTCCATGGGCTCCACCTCGATCTTCTTCCATAGCTCCAGCAGCTGTGCGATCGGCATGTTGACAAACTTTCCCTCCGGCCCAGAGCTGATGGGAGAGCGGGGCCAGGAGCCGGCTCAGCGCCCAGGGCGTCGGAGCTGACGGCAGAGGTGGGCCCGCAGGCTGGGCCTGGGTGGGAGGGAGCCCAGGGTCCTCAGTGTGGCCGTGGGCGGGTGCGTCCTCTCCCGCCACCCAGGCTCCTGGCCGCGGCCGCTGCTGCTCCGGCCCCTGGCGCCCTGCTCCTCCCGGGGCTGCAGGAGGAGAAGGAGCCGCAGCTGCGACTTGGTGAGTGCACGCGGACGGCAGCATCCGGCCGGGTCCCCGCCCGCCCCCCCCCCCCCCCCCGACATCGCCACCCCCCCACTGTTTTACCTCACTCGGCTCTAAAGGAGGGGTGAGAGTTGGGTCTGAGGATGCTGCTGCCATAGAAACTGCCTAGCAACCAAGGGCTGGGGGAGGGGCGGGAGGAGGGAGGGGCCCTGCTGCAGGCTCTGCCCTTCTCCCTCCCGCATGCACGCACACGCATGCTCTCACACGCTCTCACACACGCTCTCACACACACACACACACACACTCATGCTTACACACAACACACGCACAAACACACTCACCCATTCAGACACACACATGCACACCCACTCACACACATACGCACATTCACACACTCATACACACACGTGTGCATAGACATTCACACACACGCACACACACGCACACACCCTCCCTCCTTTGCCACGGGCTCCTCTAAGCCCGCACGACCACCTTTAGCCCCGGGCAGGAGGGGGCCAGGCAGGAAGGCCAGCGGCCTGGCTCCCGGTGCTAGTATTGAAGAGGCTCCCCCGATCGCACTGAGGGGGCTGCAGACGCAGCCTCTGCCCTCCCCCCGCCCCCCGCGAGCCAAGCATCAGTCAGCGCCTGGGGGGAGAGTGGCCTGAGGCCCATGGAGGGAGAGACGTGGGAGCCCGGGGCGGGGGGGGGCGGTCTGGTCCCCAGGAGCCACGGCTGCCTGGGCAGGGCTCTGGCCTCGGGTCCTGGTGCCGTGGCCGCAGAGCCGTTCTCGGGAGCGAGCGTGGACGGCAGTGCAGTTTAATCTCCCCGCTGACGATATGCAAAGGCAGGACCAGGGTTTGGGGGACGGATCTTCACTCAAACAGTAGAACTCAACCGTCTGCCGGTTCCGGGAAGAGCGCATGTGGGCCGCCGGCTTCCTCATCACTTTCCCATCTAATGGGGACTCGCCCATTTCACAGATGGGAACAGCCAGGCGCGGGCGGGCCCTGCCCAGACACCCGCCCGCGCGGCAGGCGGGAAGGAAGTCCCGGGCCACACACTCGGGGCGCCCGCTGGTCTGACAGGCACTTGGGGCGCCCGCTGGGTCTGACAGGGCACTCGGGGCGCCCGCTGGTCTGACAGGCACTCGGAGCACAGTTTTCTGGGGAAACTCCCCATTTCTCCTTTTCCTTTCTCTCTTTTGTCCTCTTCCTCGCCCCCTCTCTGTCTCAGAGGAAAAGGCCCGGGAGACGCTCCTCTCCCCAGAGAGCTGCTCTGACCCCTTCGTCCCTCCTGGGGGAGCGGCGCTCACGGCTAATGCTCCTTCCGGACCGTCCACTTACAGAGCAAATGCCCTTCGCTTTGAGGAAAACATTTCGGAAATGGTTTCCTGCTTCCCAACACTATCAATCCCTTTGTCTTTTTAAAAAAATATATTTTATTGATTTTTTACAGAGAGGAAGGAAGAGGGATAAATAGTTAGAAACATCGATGAGAGAGAAACATCGATCAGCTGCCTCCTGCACATCTCCCACTGGGGATGTGCCCGCAACCCAGGTACATGCCCTTGACCGGAATCGAACCTGGGACCCTTCAGTCCCCAGGCCGGCGCTCTATCCACTGAGCCAAACCGGCGAGGGCCCCTTTGTCTTCTTCATCTTTACAAAATCACTGAGAAATCTAGTTTATTAGCAAAAACACCCTAAAAACAAAACAAAACAAAAAAATCAAAACACACCACTAAATTAAAAAAAAAAAAAAAAGCCAAAATCCCAGATACTTCGTATTTAGAGCAAAAACAAACAAAACTTAGAGTCTGACTCCACAGGAGGGTTTGTGTTGACTGAAGAGCGTCCCTGTGGGTGGGCGTTGGACGTGAGCAGAGAGGGGCTGTGCCCAGCACGAAGGTCACCAGGTGGAGAGCCCCAGCACCCAGCACCCCGCGAGGCAAGACGGAGACGGGGCCTCGCCCCCGGGCGACCTCCCCCCAGCATATCACGGTCATGCCTTTTGGGTAGAAACATCAGTGACGAGAGAGAACCATGGACCGGCCGCCTCCTGCAGGCCCCCCACTGGGGATGGAGCCCGCAACCCGGGCCTGTGCCCCGACCAGGAATCGCATCCTGACCTAGTGGTTCATAGGTCGACGCTCAACCCCTGAGCCACGCCCGCTGGACTGTGGTTGTAATTTCTTAAGATGAGGTCCCCCTGGAGAAGGTGGTCCCCACTCAATACAATGGGCGTCCTTCTAAGGGGCGGCCCCCACCCCGTGCCCTCAGCCTCCGCCTCCAGAGGGACACGCTGCACTTCTTGGTTCAGCACCCAGTTCCTGGTGCCACAGCAGCTGAGGAAGGGGAGGGGAGGGGACAGGAATCAGGGGTCCGGGGCGGCCGAGCTCCACGTGGCCAGGAGCCGAGGCCCAGGCGAGAGGCTGCGCGGAGACCCCGGCCACACGGTGTGAGCTGGCGACTGTGACGCTTCAGGCCGGCACACAGAGGCGCCAGAAACCGCCCTGCCCAGGGACACTCGGCAGCCTGGCCCAGAGACACGGTAACTGCACGGCACCCGCCCGTCCCCGGGGTCCGCCGGGGCCCCTTCCACAAGACGGAGTCGTGACCGGCCGAGCCGCACCGGCCGAGCCGCACCGGCGGCCGCTTCCCAAGGATGTTACTCAGCGAAGAGGCTGGGGGCGGTGTGGACGGCTCTGTCGGGAGAGGAGATCACAGCGAGGGGCCTGTGAGGGAGGCGCGTGCTGGCCGCCAGCCACTGCTCTGCATCTCGCTGCTGAGAGGGCAGCCTGACCCAGCCCGGTGCCCGGGCCTCCCCCGCCAGCCAGGCCCTCCCGCGTGCTGGCAGGGTCTCCCTGCGGGGGAGGAGCAGCCGAGCAAATACCCATCGGTTCTAGATGCCTGACCCTCAGACTGGAGACAGAACACATGCACACGCACATGCACACACACGCACACGCACATACACACGCATGCACATGCACACACACGCACGCACACACGCACATACACATGCACACGCATACACACACGCGCACACACATGCACACGCACATGCACACACGCACACTTCAGAAGGAGTGAGGATGGTGAAATCTCTCCAGCTTCCTTTTCAAAGCGCTCACCTGGCTTGCCAGTAGGATGCCTCCCAGAGCTCAGCACAGTCGTGGGGAAAACTCCCGGGCACACCGACCGGCCTTCTGGCCTCCCGACCTGCAGGGAGGCAGGGCCAGCGCGGCGCCCTTTCCCGGTGTGGCTCCTGGGCAGCAGCTGCCCGTTTATTGAACTCAGCCTCAAGCAGACACACTTGTTCCAAGATGTCCCTCAGCTTCCCGAGGCTCATCACAAGCACGTCGACTGACACCTCGAACACAGCAGCACCCAGGGGACCAGCCTGGCTGTGTCCCGCCTGCTGGGCCTCGTCCAAAGGCATCAGCATCCTGTGGGCCAGGTGTTCCCACTGGAGCTCACGGTAGCAACCATGGCTTCAAGAAAGATGTGGAGCCCGGCTGGCGTGGCTCCGTGGTTGAGCGTCGACCTATGAGCCAGGAGGTCAGTGTCCGATTCCCGGTCAGGGCACAGGCCTGGGTTGTGGGCCTGATCCCCAGTGGGGGGCGTGCAGGAGGCAGCCGATCCATGATCCTCTCTCATCACTGATGTTTCTGTCTCTCCCTTCCTCGCTGAAATCAATAACAATATGTATGGTTTAAAATGTGGAAAGATGCCCCGTGGAGAATACACGAACAAACTAAAGGGCTGGCCCCACAGCAGAGACATCACCGCGTTTGCCCTGGTCGGTCTCAAGGGGGCGTTGAAGTTCCTCTCGTGGGACAGGCGACAGGTGAGTGGGAGGCCTGGGTGCAGGCGGCAGTTAACAACCCAGACCAGCGTGGCAGAGCCAGCTGGCTCCGTCCGCCTGGGCGGTCAGGACGTTTGTAGGACAGTGGCCGCCAACCTGACCCCCTAGAACAGCGGTCGGCAAACTGCGGCTCACGAGCCACATGCGGCTCTTTGGCCCCTTGAGTGTGGCTCTTCCACAAAATACCACGTGTGGGCGCGCACGTACAGTGCGATTGAAACTTCCTGGCCCATGCGCAGAAGTCGGTATTTTGTGGAAGAGCCACACTCAAGGGGCCAAAGAGCCGCATGTGGCTGGGGAGCCACAGTTTGTCAACCACTGGCCTAGAGCCCCGACCTGATCCCTGGACCCTTGATCTGACCCCCTGAGCCCTGACCTGACCCCAGAGTCCCGGGCTGACCCCTGAGGTCCTGACCTGACCCCTGAGGTCCTGACCTGACCCCTGAAGTCCTGACCTGACCCCTGAGGTCTGACCTGACCCCTGAAGTCCTGACCTGACCCCTGAGGTCCTGACCTGACCCCTGAGGTCTGACCTGACCCCTGAGGTCCTGACCTGACCCCTGAGGTCCCGACCTGATCCCTGAGGTCCTGACCTGACCCCTGAGGTCCCGACCTGACCCCTGAGGTCCTGACCTGATCCCTGAGGTCTGACCTGACCCCTGAGGTCTGACCTGACCCCCAGAGCCCCGGCCTGACCCCTGAGGTCTGACCTGACCCCTGAGGTCCTGACCTGACCCCTGAGGTCCTGACCTGACCCCTGAGGTCCCGACCTGATCCCTGAGGTCCTGACCTGATCCCTGAGGTCCTGACCTGACCCCTGAGGTCTGACCTGACCCCTGAGGTCTGACCTGACCCCCAGAGCCCCGGCCTGACCCCTGAGGTCTGACCTGACCACGGAGCCCTGACCAGGACGAGGGACCGTTTCTGGGCTCCTTGTGGGTGGAGCTCCTTCCCTGTAAGCACACTCGCGTCATCTGTGTGAAACGAGCCTTCAGCCTTCCGATCTGCTTCCCATCAGCTTTTTGCTGTTGATTTTCTTTGAAAACGGCCTTTTGTCTCGCGTCTGAATGCCTCCCTTCCCACAGCTGTGCCCGCGCCCCGCGCCCGCTCGCCTCCCCCCCTCCCGCGG